TATCCCTTTACTGGGCTCATTTTGATAAAACGTTTACAAGTTTAATTCACGAGTGTGGCTACACTTGTTACAGTTTTATAAATTAATTGACTCCTAGTTTCATACCCCAAACCAAGGAGAAATATATAATAACATTTAAACCAAAGATAGAATTAAATAGCCTGTGTACAGTGGTCTCCGAACCACGGCACATAGAGTTAATACCCCTCACTCTATTGATATGCAGTTTTATTCTAGTTTTCTTACCCTGCACCCTTGTTTAAATTATGTTTTGTGCTCTTTCAAAGGACCCTGTTTTATTCTCTGGAACTCTCCGTCTTAACCTGGATCCATTTGACCTTCATACCGACGAGGAATTGTGGAAAATCCTGGAAATAAGTCATTTAAAGAACTTTGTGTCAGGACTGGAACAAGGTCTGCTCCACCCAGTTAGTGAAGGAGGAGAAAACTTAAGGTAATCCTAAGGGTCTTGCTCCAAAAACTTCATGCATACATTCTTTCTCTCTTCTTGGAAAGTTAAGTGTTATTAAAGATTAACGCAACGTTGATAAGAAGGAAACTAGTTAATTATCAGAGCCTGTATACATCCACTCCCTCCCCTTGAAAACTGAATAGGAGATGGGGAGGTTGTGTCTCTTCCCGGGTGTACTCTGGATAGTTAATTATTATAAGGCCTGTAATTTGTTACTTTGTTCCCGTACAGTGTTGGTCAGCGGCAGTTGGTATGTTTAGCACGTGCGTTGCTTCGTAAAAGTAAAGTTCTTGTTCTTGATGAAGCCACAGCCGCGGTGGACCTGGAAACTGATGAACTCATTCAACAAACGATTCGGCGGGAGTTTGCTGACCGTACCGTGTTTACTATCGCTCACAGGCTCAACACCATCATGGATTATACAAGGTACCATTACTGCGCTGTTCGATTTGATGTTTAAAATTTTCCCTTACAACCTATTTGTGCTTTTTTCATTTTTTCCTTTCTTTTTTTCCTGTAGAGTTATGGTCCTTGACAAAGGTTTTATGGTAGAGTTTGACACCCCACAAGCATTACTTGCGCAGCAGGGAATTTTCTACAGCATGGCTTGTGACGCTGGTTTGGCCTGAACTTATTCAGAGTGCAGAACACTGATAAGAAAAGTTTACTAGCACAGTGTACTGCTGGCAGAGGAGGCCTCATGCTTTCTTTAGATTAAAAACGCATTGAACTTAAACACAAGCAACGTTTTTAACTTGAACATTTTGTGTACAGCTTTTAAGGTAGTAACGTTTCTTGAATAAGCAATGATGTGTATTATTAAGATGGGGTCATACTCTCAACAAGCTGGTTACAATTATATCTTCGAGTACTTGTGTATTTGCTCACTTCGCCAGTGGAAGTGTAGCGATGAGGAGGACGTCTGTCGCTCACTGAATGGACCACATATGACTGTACAAGTTTATTGATATGGATACTATGGGTTAAATCCAAAGGGCCTGTTTGTCAGTTAGCTAAGGTAACTCCTGTCTCCTATCATATTAATACATTGTATTCCACGTTTTATTGTTGACTATATAACAATAAAAAAGCAACAGAAAAGTGATCCCCCAGCGTAGAGAGACCGTAAAATAGAACATTTTAAATTTAATTTAAATATCTCGTGCCGTGCCCTTTCAATTTCATGGTTTGAAAAGACAATCCGTTTCAATCCACGGCAAAGGTTCGTGTCTCACACCCAGATATTCTTAGGCTACAATTGATCATGACACTATTTTGTGCCTTCCTTGTTGCTTATACAAAATCCTTGCTCACAATGCAAACGTAAATGGAACTTACTGCGGTCAATCAATTTCTAAGGGGTTCTGGGAAACTGTGTCGCATTTTAGTTCCCTCGCACAGACTGAACTGAAAATCAAGATCTATTTATAATGGCATTATAATTTGGTTAAAAATAGAAGTAAAATTAGCACAGAGGAATCTTTTTACGAAAGTCTGGAATTGAACTACTTGTTTTTGTTTTTTTATATATAGCAACTTATAAGGATCATCCGACTGAAAGGAAATTGCGGCTCTCCAAGAGCATTAACTTGGTAAAAGAAATAAATTCTTACGGAACTTTCGCGTTTTAGTTGCAGTGGTTGAAGCTATACCTTCGGGCAAAATGATCAGGAGTATTGGATTTCGTTCTGCGTTAGTTTTCATTCTCTTTCTCTCCTTCAGTGAAGCTTTTACTGGTCCTTTACAACCAGGGAAAAGAGCCGGAACAAATCTGACGCGGACACAGGTAGATACCGCTAACTCAGTCCGCAGAAAACGTTGGTTTTGAAAAAGGTCTTTTTCTTTTTACTAGTTAAAGATTTTGGGCTTATAGTTTTTCTTGACCAAGTTTGGAGGTGCTAGGCCTAGGGCGTCGCAAACATTTGTTGAGGGCCTGCATTAAGTGCTTTAACGGAAAGCTGTCGTCTATAAGGGTTTTTTGTGTCTTGTTTCAAGTTTGAAATCCATACCGAAATAAGTATACGATGGATTTACATATTGCTAAACGCACTTTTAAAATACAATCCAGCCATGAAAGGAGGAATCTTACGGCTTACCCTAATTATATAAAAAAAAAGTCATCACGTACTGAACGGGTTTTTTCAGTCAGTGCTTTCTTCTGACGGATGTATGCCAAATTTTTAGATTAATGTTTTAACTAAAGCTATTATTTTCATCATTTTGTAACAGTGTATTCTCTGTTGGAAAAGAATTTACTTGAGGGGAAGGAACATTAGTCACGTGACGGCCAATGGAAGTAATCAGCAATTACCGCAGACCACTCATTTCAGGAAGCATCAAAACAAAGTGCTTAAAAATGGAGTAAAGCTTCAAGAACGGACACGGCTATAGAGAAATCATGGTTTCCCCAATTTAATGTTAATTGATACAGCTTTGTTAATACGCCGGCACTATAAATAAATGAAACAATTTCAAATGCGCGCGCACCGGACTTTCTTCAGTATTCTCTCCCCATGTCTCCATGTTACTTTTATAAAACTATTTTTTCAATGAACCAGTCTTTATATTTTTACTTAACAATTCAGTCATTAAAACACTCTTCGCTTGTTTAAAGTAGTGTTTTCAATGAAACATCGTATGGAAAATGACCAATTATAATACTGTAATATTTCCCTGAGAACTTTTCCACGAAAATAGGTTCAATCATTCCCAAAACCTAAATTTCGCTTTTGAATGATTTGGATGCTTTTCTGTTGGTCTACATGTTTGACCATTCGACTTCTTATTTCTGCTGTGTTCTTTCTGGCTATCTTAACAATAAGAGCTAATAAGAATAATATATTGAAGAAATAAGTAGAGGAAAATCACCTAACTCAAAACAAGGCAGCTGGTCCCTGACGTATGTTACCATTCCAATTCAATTTAACAAAACCACTTATAGCCGCCGGCTAAGTACGAGTAGCCGATAAAAATACCAAAAGCAATTTTGGTGAATGGGATATCAATTCTTCAAACTCTTTTTCTCCGCGGGCACGACAATAATAATGATTCAAGCTTCTCGGTGTATTTTGCTATCACACCCATAGGGCGCCACATAAAAAAAAGGACAGAGTACCTTGATTTTAGTATCAAAACCTAGTCTTCGTGTTCCTATCTATAATTGAAATCAATACTGAATAAACGTATCTAAAAATCCAATAAAGTGTTCCGTAAAAATGCCATGACATAGAACGAGTATTGGAGTTGCTCGCTCTGGGTTATGGGCTCCTGACTAGTACACCTACAATCACATCCCTACATACACATCCGCATACTGTAAATCCTCTGTTAGACCCCCGGGTAGGGTTTATTCATTTCAAACCAATTTGATGGGGGGGGGGGGCTTCTTTGAGAAGAGGGGGCTTATTCGATTTAGAAAAGACGATGATATCAGTTCTCCATAAAAAAAAACTAGGATACAACGTGGAAAGGCTCAAGTACAAGAAGTTAGAGGTTATGCAGCTGAGGATCAAAACAGATCCGAACTTCCAGTTGGTAAATAAACCATCCCATCCACACAAAGTTTCACAGTCGTGACTGATAGATACAGTCTATCATTTATTAGTAAAGAATAATTAGGGGAGGGGGAGGGGGCTTAAAATAGAGGAGGGGCTTCTTAACTTTCTCCCCCTGAAAAATAGCGGGCTTATTAGAGAGAAGGGGCTTATTCTAGGGGGGGGGGGTTAATAGAAGATTTAGGGTTAGGGTTTACGGTACTAAGCCCTCCGCCCAAAATAGTGAAATTGGTAGTTATTTACAAATAGTTATTTGATAGAGCTGTGTTACCTTAAATTGTGTTCATATGGTTTTACGAGAAACTGCAGACTTTGGCTACTGTGAAGAATTCTGATCGCTGCAAGGACATTGTTAGGTCTTTTTGAACCCCAAAACGACTATTTTATGGCAATGCAGTTTTGTTGCTTTCCAACTAAATTTGCCACGAGAGTCAACCTACCCTTCTGAATTTTGATCAATTTAAAATTTGAAGGTGCATCCCTTAATTTCCGGTTTGTATTTCTGTCTCCAATTAGAATAAAAGAGTGTAAGTATTTATTTTTGTCGCTCCTCAAAACAGCCCAAGACATCGCTTCAAGCTGCCGTGCTTCGCTACCACGCATTAAAATCAACTAGCATGTGCTCAGAGATTTAAGCATGTGAAAATAAAATCCCGTACACACGTATCTGTTTTTTAAAAGGAAACAAATTCAGTTTTTCCGTTTTCAAAAACTAAGGTCGGTTGTTTAAACGAAGTCTAACTTAGACCGCTGTTTAAGAGATCTTTGGACCTTCAGATCTCTTCTTTAGTGGGTCAATTGAAAAAGATAAATGCTTTTCTAGGCTGCACTATATGCTTTGCTTCTTTTCTTGCATATTTGTCATCCACGCTTTTGATTATCATACTTGATGAATTTTTAGTCATCCCGGTATGTAACGTGTTAATTATTCTTCGCCGACCATACCTCGAGTTTGTCGAAACAAAAACTTGACGATGAGTTGTCACTATTTAACCAATAGAAAAGTTTATTAACCACGAGGCGCCAATAAGATTTGAAATGAATATCAAGCGCGACAACCAAAAATGTGCCACGGATTCAGTCGAACCACCTTCAGTTCATCACGTGCGAGTCTGTTTTCGGTTTGTCTTATCCACCGAAATTCGACCATCTTTTTGCGTTTTATACGTAAATAAGACGCTGAAAACCTGCACCTAAAGATGGAAAAATTGGAGAATCTAGGAAACAGCGTTAACACTAAAACGGTAAGAGAAACTTGTGTTTTTATCGACACTGGAATCCTTTTATAAAAGAAAAACTTTGTTTATTTGTCGATAAACTTTCCTTCAGGATTAGTATAGCCAAGGAAAAGCTGACTCGGTAAGTCTATTGTTTGCTACAACTTGCACATCTACCACGCTAACATTCATTGGAGCCCTGCACTTGGACAACAGATATATTATTTTTCGCCCTTGTTTGGTACACATATTGCTATTAATTTTCAACGAATCAGAAGCAATTCAAATATATAAACACATTGGGTAAGCTTACCTTAATTTCATTAAAAAAAACAGCACACATGAATATACCATAATTCAGACTTGTTTGGATAAAAAAAACTATTGTCAGGGTTAGGTTCATTGTTATGGATCTTTTGTTTTCTTTGTTTTACGTCAGCTGCGAGTAATAAATTATATTACATCGAAGATGAGCCCTTTACTTGCAGATATGAAGGAAGAGCGACAGGAAAATTAAAGGTTTTGGTAATGTACGCCTGTTTATGCCATTATTTACACATTGTACACTAAATTGATCATTTTTTAAGGAGTGCTTTTCTATTTGACAAATAACTCAAAATGGCTACAGGGCAAAAAACTATGCCAAAACAAAATTGTCAAACTTATCCACCAACTTGCACAGCATTCATCATCAATGTAAGAAAAAAACTTGTTTAATATGGTCACGGTTCAGCTAGAGGGTGATCACATAAGAAAACTCTACGCAAAACCCATTTGTGTAAGGAATCTGTATAAAATTCCTTTACATCTTACTACGACTAACTTGTACTGCATTTATATATTATGAAAGCAGAATTATTTGAAATCAGTTGTTAAATATCTAGAGGGTGATAACATCGGGAACTGTATTGTGGGATTCATACTTATAGATAAATTGTTTCGTGTCTGAAGAACAAACGAAACAGCAAAATGACCGCTTCCTGGTCTTGTTGGTTGAATAAAAAATAGTAATCATTATTCACAAGGGAAAATATAATAGTGGTGATACAGGAGTTTACAATACTTACATTTTAATCCTCGTAGTCTTACAACCATACAGGATGCTAAAAGAATAACAATTAAAATACATTTTACGGGCTATCGTACTGCACACTTACAAATACAACTGGCTAATGTACACACATATTATAATCCAAACTATACTAGAAGAAACAAACGTAAATATAATGTTATATTTAAAATAAGGTTTCATGGGTCAATTAGGGTGGTTGGTGCCTGCAGATCAGTAGAGCAATAAATATCACAGCAAACAAAAACAGGTAGAGTAAGGTTTGTTGTTTTGCAAAGCTACTGAAACGGTCAAAAAAGTTATTATCTTAAATTCGCGCCAATGCCACCGTGACAGTGTTACCATAAATATCATTGTTGCTGCTGATAATGATCACCAATACTTTGATAAGCAGAAATAACGACACTGATTATATAAACCAATCAGTGTTAATGATTGAAGTTATTATTACAGTATGATATTATTATTGCCATAATTTCACCTCGTTTCTCTTAACAAAACATTAATAACGTTCGACCATAAGCTATCGCCCTTATCGATCAGTTGCGCGCGTTTTCCGCATTCGAATTGCGCAGATGCCTTTTTTTTGCTTTTGTCGCTTTGTGTATGACGAAAGCTGGTTTCATCTCGTTTCTCCTGACAAAACGTTAATCATACTCGGCCATAAGCTAATGCCCTTCTTTTTCTTTTCTCCAATCACCACAATTATTGAAATCTATCGATCATTTGCGTGCGTTCATATTCCGCATTCGAATTGCGCAGATACAGTCTCTTTTGCTTTTGTCGCTTTGTGATGTGACGAAAGCTGATCACATCTCGTTTCTGTTGACAAAAGGTTAACCATATTCGACCATAACATGCTGCACTTTTTTTCTTTTCCTCATTCATCGCAATTGTTGAAATCAGTTACGCGCGTTCATTCTCCGCATTCGACTAACGCAGATACAATCTCTTTTGCTTTTATCGCTTTGTGATGCAACGAAAGGTGATTTTACCTCGTTTTTGTTGGCAAGTATTAACCATACTCGACCATGAGGTATAGCGCTTTTTTTCTTTTCTTCAATCACCTCAGATATTGAAAACTATCGATCAGATGCGCGAGTTCATTCTCCGCGCATTCCAATTGCGCAGATGCTTTCTCTTTTGCTTTTGTCGCTTTGTGGTGCGATGAAAGCTGATTTCACCTGGCTTCTCTTAGCAAAGCATTTGCAATGCTCGACTATAAGGTATTGCGGCTGTTTTCGTTCTTTAATCGCCGTAATTATTGAAATCTATCGATCAGTTGCGCGCGCTCATTCTCCGCATTCGACTCCCGAAAATGCTTTCTCCTTCGCTATTTTCGCTTTCTTTATATGCGACGAAAGCGATTATCTTGTGTTATCTCACCATCAGTGCAAAAATTATTAAAACCGAAAAACAAACATACCTTCAAAAGGGTAACATAAAACTGCTGGTTTGGTGATCTGGTAGATTCTATTATGGCTCTCCAAAAGATCTAAAGAAAGAAATAATACATCTATAACAATCTTTACGACTAATTGTCGTTTACATAATTGAGTTGGGGAAATCCAATAAAACATGACTTCATAAGGTCAACACGATTAATATATTCAGTAATCAATGCGCAAATTACAATAACTACTGATTATTGTTGTTCTCTACCATTAATAATACAATCAGTAAATGTCAAATTCACATTGATAATGTAAGATCCATGAATAACAAATGTTATTATTATAGT